TCCTACTTTACTTTTTGATCCGACACATATTTTGGGTTTCCCGGCCACAGGAAAACATGGACTTTTTCACCAGTTATAACCATATGGGAGGCGGGGGGTATCATTTAGTGAGCTCATCGCTCACAGTACCTCTAGTTTTAAATTTGAATTCGTCATTGATATTCAACAGCACTTGGCACACTGTTTAGAGCGTATGCCATGAAGCTGCTAAGTAAAAATTGATCCTTACGTCGTGGGTTTTGAATACCACTGCAGGACGTGGTGACCGGTCCTTCGGATGAAACCGTATAGTCCGAGATTCTGTGTTATAGTAGGTTCAAGCTGGTAAGAAACTGATCCCTCCCTGCTCAATGGCCCTGATTGCCGAGTATAGGACAAGATTTAAAGGTCTCCATCGGCAAGTAATGACGGATCCATATGGGTAAAAAAAAATCTCAAGAGAGACGTTAAGCAATTTAGAATTTATCAACGATACTTGATGTTCCATTCAAACTCTCCCTGATAGAAGAAAATTTTGATTTTTTTTTATTTCTTAACCTTTATTTGGTCAATGATATATATAATATTATTTTTGTGTTATAATAACCGTGAGGTTTTTACTTCAGGCAATCAAACGACTAAAAGCGAAGATGAAAGTATTTTTTGTCTCATTTTTTGAAATATTTGGAGATTACGTATACGTGTAACCCATAACAGCTGTGTAGAATCACATTGTGTAATCATAAAATTTAAAAAAAAAATGTGATGAAAAATTGCTCCATACAATGCAGCATTCATCGCTCAAATCTGAAAATCGATTCAAAATGTATTAAAGCTCTCTAGTGTGTGTATGTGTGTGTCTATCTGATAAATTGCTGTTTTTTGCTATGTATATTCAACATGCTTATGTTCTTAGAGAAATAATCATAACAATGAAGAACATATGTTAATTGTGCTATGTTACAGATCTCTTTGAAACATGAAGTATGTTTATAACGCATGTAAAAATTTGTATGAATCTGTTCGGCATGACTTCCAAACCGGTGTGGATGTTGAAAACAATTGAATATATGGGTATTTCTATATCATATTTTGCAGTTTCTTTTCTTACAAAATGCTATACCTCGATCGACATGTCTATACATGTATCATTATACTTGTATGTATTCATTCTTTATATATAAATAGTGAATGTCCAATTTAAAAAATATATATATTAAGACAGATTAACAAAATACATGTTATGATATGAATTACCGGTAGTAGGTTTTCTGCTCAAAATAGGCAAAGGCATTTAATGGATCTATATTTGACATATTTTTTTTTTTACCTAGAATTAACAATTTCAAAGGAGATTCAGGTTAATTAAAATGGAATATTTCTATTTTCTTTATCGATTTATCTGTATTTGGTTTGATATGTGCTGAGATTCATTGGAATCACAACATATCTGCTTTTTAATCACAATTAACATTAAGTAGTTTTGACACACTCATATAAAGGATGTTAATAAATTGATAGCCAAACAAATTAAGATTATTTTTTACTTTTATCTCAAATTTTATGAAATAGGATATAAATACACTGTACCTATCAAAATGATAAGAGGAAATCAGTTCTCGAGCACAATTGAGTGGTACATGTAATACCAATATCCGTAGCACTTAAAGGAAAATTTTTTTTTAAAAGATATCTATCATAATAAACTTATTTCTTATTTGGGTAAATCGGTTATGAAACATTGAAAGATTAGGAACACTTGGACCAAAAATAAATATCAGAAATAAAAAATCAAATTAAGTGAAGCTAGTACATTCTCTACGTACGGATAATTAAAATGAACGTAATAAATACGTTCTGAAATCAAAATTCTGTCAAAATTCTAATATGTTACGAAGAAAGAAAAACAAAGGAAGATTTAAAATAATGTTTGTCGTTTTGTATGAAAAAAAATTTTAGTACGAGGGCTGTCAGTAAAGTTCGTAGACAACATTAATAATTAATGACAAACATTGCTAAAAATATATGAAACTATCATTTTCATTAAATTAATGATTTTTTTTATATATATGCAAATTTTAAACAAAATCAAAGCACAAATAGATATATTTTTAAGAGATACAAAAGAGACACATACTCATACCCTGAGCACTAAAACGAAAATACATGGCGTTACCCGACTTCAAAAACTTAAAACGTTATAACTTTTCTCAACACACTCACCGTGTAACTCAATACATTTCATATTTTACTCTCATCAGTCATCAAAAATGTGTACAAACTGTTCAGATTTCTTATGCAAAATTATATTTAGCACTTCTTTTCACAGATCCTGCCATCTTTGTCCGCCTAAAAGCGACTTTATCTAAGGAAATACGGCAAAGTCACGTTACGAAATCTATTTTCTTAGCATTGCAATCTCGGAATGATGGTCTTCCTTCACGCATGTCATCCTGTAATCTGTTCCTCCCGTTCGAAAATTTTATATTCCACTCAAATACTTAAGAATGGTTTCCTTAAGTATATTTTCCCGACTGTGTACTGAATTTATGAGTCTCTGTTGGTGTTTTTCCTATGTCTACACAGAGATTTATCACTACTCTCTGATCCACCTTTTCCAAAAACGTCCCTTTTTCGAACAATGCCGATCCTGTCTTTATAGATTCTAACCTCGATTATTCAGCCATTTCTAAACTCTTAACCTTCTAATTTTTCAGGTTTGAAGTTATAGCTTTTGTGAACCTCGTAATGTGAAAGCAATCTGAATAAACGCGGAATTTTACAAAATACAAATGAAATTTTTAAGTGATAAGTAACTTTTAAATTAAAATTTTGCAGTGCTCCCGGTTACCATCCTAAGTCTAATTATGAAGCCGTAACTGTAATTATATATTTTAAATTGAATATAATTTTACATTTTGTAATTCACATTTAGTTAAGATTTATAAATATGTTAATAATTCATGTCGATGACACTATTTTTATTTAAATTTTAGCTTGTCAACAAACTTTACTGACAACCCTCTCCTATTTTGAATGTGTGTGGCTTTGACGTGTCCAAATTCTATCAAAGGTTCGACCTGTCAAGATATGATTGTTAATTATAGTAGTGAAGTATATGTAACTGCAGTTACGATCTTTTATACATGTTCGAAAAAGCCATAAAAACGTATCTGCATTGCATTTGATCTGGAAGCAGGAGTAAGAAATTTGTTAACATACATCCTTATTGTATAACTGACTCAAAAACAGTGACAGTGAGGATTTAACAGGTCTTTCAAATGATATTGGCCGTCTTATAAAATCTGGAAAAGAACAGACACGCATTATCAAAGAACTTCAGGATACCACTGAAACACAATCATCCAGGATTAAGTGAAACTTCACAAAACCAGCAAAATATGATAAGAAAACACGGAAGTGAAATAGGAAAGTTACAAAGAGTAAATTCAGGTTTACTTGAGTTGCTTCTGAAAAAGACTAGCAATACTAAAGATGTTAGTCAAAAATATGCAAGGATAAAATTTGAACGAAATGGTGACCAGACCCGCGGAAAGCAGAAAGAAAATAGACATGAACTTCCAAGAGACTTTAGAAAATCAAATTGAAAATGTTGAAATTTTGAAGAATACAAAATGATTTGCATTGAAAATGATTGCAAAATTAATTAAAACAGACCTTTTTTCGGTTGTGTATCCTTTTATCCTACATGTAAATAAAAATAAACATGAAGACGAAAATTCAACTCAATCTTTCAATGCATTTTTCTCGCTTCATTTTTACTTACTATATATATATGTAGCCATTTGGAACTAAGCCTAACATGCACTGAGTTAGAGTTATCTTTCTCCTTTTTTTCTTTGCTTAAACATATAAACGCAGACAGACGGACAGATTCAGAAATCGACAGTCCCCTCCGGGTTTCACCGGTAAAGTAATAATAAGTTAAAGGTATTTGTTTTCAGAAGTCTTATTTTAAACCCACTTTTAACGATAATGACGCACCAAATTTTAGTGATTGTCTGCAGTTTTATATACGTTGAGGCACCACTAATAGATACGAGATATTACGGGTAATGTTTTTAATGAAGTATGTGGAGAAAGTGGGCGTAGGCAGCATTAGCAATTGTTATAGATGATAATGTTCTTAAATAACAATATACATCAAGATAACAATAGGAATATTATTTGTTTGTTCGGATATACATAATAAAGAGAACATGGAATGTTTAAGTTAGCACTCCAATATCAATGCTAATTAAATCTTTTTATTAAATGCAATAAAATATAGTAAAAAATATTCCATTTCGTCTACAGTGTAAATGAAATGCAAATTTGCTTAAGTACAATATTTTATACTTTTCTATCCATCATTGAAATAATCATTCTACACAGTATATCAAAAGATGACAGATGTACTTCTTATTTTGAAATCATTTTCAAACAAATAAAGTATTACCTCCTTAATATTTGACATTTAAAATATATTCACGACCTCATCACAAACTTCAGACGTTATGGTGAATAAGATATGCATTGCTTTGAAATATGCAAACATTTTCCTGGGTTGAAATATAAAAATATATCTTAAGCATAATTAACATTTCAGAAAGATATAGGACGACTGTTAGTCCATTAGCTTTTATTTTTCTAAAAAAATTTCAATAATTAGTTCAAGGTAAACACAGTTGAGTTACTTTAGAAAAAGAAATTATACTTATGATAAAGAGTATACCTTATTGGAAATGTACAAGCATTCAACATGTTCAGTTGTTACATGTAGTTTTGATAATACAATGGCTTTTACATAATTTGCTCCAGTTCTTCTTCACATTCTTCAACTCTTTTCAGAGCCCGGTGATCAACATCTTTCAGTATTCCTTTCAAAGTACTATAGTTATTCACTGACAATTTTCCATCCGAAGCCAGTTTATTGAAATCGTAACGTACAGAGGTAGACTGGTACCTAGGTGCTTTATATATCATCTTCAAAAATTGTTTCCATCTTGTGTAAGGCTTACCACCTTCGACAGATTCGTCAAGGTAGTCTGTTATAAGTTCTGCCACTAAATTGTTGTGCAGGCCCTTTGCTTTCTTTTGTACTATGTAGCAATAAGAAACAAAAATATTTGCTGAATGCACATAAATAATTAAGCTCATGGGATTGAGTACTCAGTTTGAAGTACCATATAACATTAATTTATTATTAATTTAATATTGTTTCTTAGTTTCTGTTTAAAATAATAAGTAGAAACAACTAATTTATTTCAAGAATTTGTAGCATTCTTGTATTAGATAAGCATAATTCATCTGTAGGAGAAGTCGACAATGTAAAGCAATTAAAAGAAAGGAGGTAGAGAAGAGGGAAAATACGTCGAGGAAAAATATTAAGAAAGACGATACATACTCATTAAACACATAAAATATGTGAAGGTTAGCGTTCTTAGATATGAGATATTTTTGAAATACGCAAATACCTTCCGTAAGTAATTCTATTGATGCTGGGCTTTCAGATGCTGCATGCTTATATCCACGTTTTGATTTTGATGCCTTAGGTTCATCATCAGGTACCTTTAAAAGTAAAATGTTGAAAAAAAATATATGTCATCAGCATTGAGTGTTATTTTGCTCAAAGATATATCTAAGATACTAAAGTTAACAAATTGGACACCTACATTCAATGTTATATATAGAGGTATATATCAATGTGTTTTACATGATATGTTAATCAGTACAGTAATTATATCTTTATAGGGAATGTAATGCAAAAAAAGATTATTCATAAATCTGATGTTAAAATATTGCCGATGGAACTATTCTGTAATCTTATTTTTTAAGAGCATACATATGTTGAAAAAGGTATAGCTATAGAAAATATGGTCATTTTCATCAATCTGTAAAGAATGTAAATCGTATAATATTGCTTATTTTGGGAAAGATAGATACAAAACTTTCAAAAAGTCCATTGGAATTTTCAGAATACAAATTTGATTTATAATGTGCATAATCTATCAATCAATCAATCAATCAAACATTTAACAGTCTTTTCTCAGTTTCTGCTCTATTTGTTTCAATTTGCTTTGTTCTGAATTATTTAAGAATGAAGAAGAAAATATAAACAGAATAATTTTACATCTATGTTTTTTTTTTGTTTTTATTTTTTTTTTTTTTCATTTGATGTTTGCTAAACGAAACCATCCTATCTTAAAGAAAGTTATATCAAGGGCGTTTGCATTCACCATTCTTTTAGAAGTAGGAATTAAAAGAAGTTTTAATTGCATGCGTCCTTCATCGATGATTTCCTATCGAGTTGTGTAAAGTTGAGACTATGGTTTAATACCACTTTCAATCATATTCATAAGAGTCTGAAATGTAAATCTTAAAGTTGAAGAATATTGAGAACAGAAGTCCAACTGTATCCAAAAAAGTGTGAAAAATCATTAATTTAGGTTTTCAAAAGCACCCATTTATAGATTTTTTTTGGTCTTTTGAATTAAGCACTGTGACCTACTAAAATAAGAAAAAGAGATCAATGAATCTTAGAGCCTTCTTTAAGCCTAAAATTTGCATAAAAAATCTTATGTCAAAAACAACTTTGAAAGTAGGCATTGATACGGTTTATAAAAAATGAAAGTTAAAAATAAAAAAAATGAAATAAATTCATTTTGGCAATGTAATAAAAATTACGATGAAATTTTTCACTCCGTTTTTTGTAATTAAATAACATATCATTCAAAGACTTTTTATGTTAAATAAAACATTTATGAAGTACCTGCTTCCAATATTGAATGATGTCTTTCGCCTTAATAATATGCTTTTCATTTGCCGGACAGGACGGACACTGAAAAGAAGCTCTTGTAAACACTGATTCATTTATGACAGCACCTTTTTTGTTATCACAAAATCCAATAGGCTTGCATTTGAATGCAATCTGGAATTCCGAGTGTTTATGGAACGTATTTGACAGATTATGTAATTCATGTTCAATTATTTTTCTAATCTGGTGACATATTGAGACATCAACTTTTCCCTTAGCAACAAATACTTGTAACTGTATTTCCGTTTGAGTCATTCCAAGCAGAATATTGTGGAGTTGATCATCAAACACGAAAATTGATGCAGTCTGGTAAATGCATCCTCGGTCTTTATCACAAAAAATTTCCCAAGGAATTTGCATGCACTTTGCTACAAGACGATGGAAAATTCCAGCGGGAAGAATACCCAATTTGTAGCAAAGGATGGACGAAGCAGGGTATGAAAAGTAACTTACAGGAAATGATTTTTTGTTCATACAAGGAACATACCATTTATTGTCACATATTTTTGCTAAGAGACCTAGCTTCTCCATGTACATCATGATATGATCTTTCTGTTCAATGTAACATTTGTTGTGCATCTTCCAAATAGCAGACAAAAGAGTGTCGTGCAACTCCCCAGTTTCATTGAAATTGTCCCATTCCGTAGCAAACTCAAACAAATCTTCTTCTGCATGGTTTTTATCTGTTATGACATTTTTAAATGCATCTGCAAACCACTGAACATCGAGAATAATAACTTTATTGAGGACATCTTGATCAAAGTATAAAATTTCTCTGGTGTCATGGAAAAACTGCAGCATAACTTTCATATCTTCACTAGTGTGAAGCCTAATTCCCTCTGGCAATGCTTCATTGAACGCAATAATATCATCTCTATTTAAAAATTTATCCTTTTTCTTTTCCCGAAAGAATGTTTCAAACATTGCCCATGATTGCGGGAGATCTTCACCCCAGTGTTCAAGTGAGTACACGACATCTACAATTGATTTCTTGATATTTTCAAGACTTTCTTTGTCATGAAAACCAACTGCAAATCGCCTTTTCACAAGTTCTTTGTGCAAAGACTTCTTAATTTCCAAAATCTTCCATATTTCACGGAAAAACAGTGTAATATCCTGGAAAGTAAATAAATTTATGAATACAATTTATCAGAAATACCATTTACGTAATAAATCGTTTTAGGATCATTCTATTTTTCATTCAATCAAAGGAAATCTTTTATATTTCTAATTGATTTTTACAATTGTTTTCATTTATTTTGAGGATAAACACCCATAATTTAAACTAAGCAAAGTTGAGCAGTATTACATTTAATAAAGAAGATAGATCTATCCAGCTAATATCGGTGCATCTTGTGATGTGTACCTTTCACGCGTAATTATTTTTTTTACTGTTTCTCAGTTATATTAAGGACCGATATGAAAAATGTGACCTATGCACCGTATCAATATGTATTTCTCCTTTTTAAAAATTGTAACAAAGCAACTGAATACCTGTAGAAAATTTAATATTACTATCCATAATGAATAGGACTTGGTCGTACACAGTACCAGTTATATCGAATGCATTATATTAGCTGTTTGTCACGAGACTTGAAAAGTTAAGCGGAATTTAGGAAATGAGGATAGTGCAAAGGCATGCCCTGTTTTTCAAGAAACAAATGATACACTTTAAAAGATGTTCATTTCCTCTACCCAAAAAGTGCTGGGAGCTAATCTGTGCTGTTTGCAAAGTACTGAAAATTTTGCCGAAAATGCCTATAGTAAGTGAAAATTTGCACTTCGCTCAACTTATGTTATAAATAAAATAATGTTTTGCAGAACACGATCAGCTCCCATCACTTTTCAAAATATACACTATATTAGCAATAGATATTTCATATTTCAGCTCAAACAAAATAGTATATCCCCTTCAACTTTTGATGTCAATCACGAAAACGCTTATCGTTCTAGCGAAATTCTCTACATTCCTTGTCCCTGTGCAGCTCCAATGCTACTAGATAAATTCAGATTCTATACAAAGCGTTAGCTTCGTGATCGGGAGGCCCGGGTTCGATTTTCGTTCGCGGCGCTGCGTCAAACCTAAGACGTAAACATTGGTAGTGACTGTTCCTTCCTTGACCTTAAAATAACGTAGCTCCCGTGGCACGGTGGGCGTTGGCATGTAAAATTTTCCTCACTGCTCAATGGCCGAGTGCCGAGTATAGGTCAAAATTTGATGCCCTTCTCTGGCATACGGTGACGTCTCCATATGAGTGAAAAACTCTCGAGAGGGACGATAAACTACATACAATCGATCAATTTATACAAGTTGTATTTAATAATTTATTTCCTTTTAGTTTTAATGATTAAGTTAAAAAACAGCGATGATATCATATTAATTGTAGCATTTTTTGTAATTATACAACCAGTGAATCTAGTCTCCTCTGGATCACCTCTGCTGCGTCATGTCAAGGGTGGTTACGCCATATTTGTTTCTATTTTTTGACTTGTTATACCCCCCGCTTGAAAAGCGGGAGGGTATATAGTGATCGGGATTTCCGTCCGTCCGTCCGTCTGTCCGTCCGTCCGTCTGTCCGTCCGTCCGTCCGTCTGTCCGTCCGTCGTCTGTACGTCCGTCCGTCCGTCCGTCTGTTACGCTTTTTCTCTTATCCGCAACTCCTCTTATACTACTGAGTGAAATTGAATGAAACTTTCACAGAATCTTCATTACATATTGCCATTGTGCACCTCCTATTTTACTTTTTTATTCAACACGTATTTTAGGTTTCCCAGAGCAAAACATGAACATTGCCATTTTTTGTTTACCTATGACGTCACATAATAGAAGCTTCTGGATAACATTTGACGGGACGAGTTATTCCTCTTTACACATTACCGTAAAACAATATAAAGCAACACATCGACATTATGGGAGGCGGGGGGTATCATTTAGTGAGCTCATTGCTCACAGTACCTCTAGTTTATATTACTCGACTGTATTACGCTCAAGCATTGCAATTTTACAATGTTTTATAAATAATTGATAAAATAAATAACTTTAAGTTGTTATTTACACATAATTATGTCTTTAAGTTCAAGATCTTGTAAATGCCTTCAGACCCACATTTTGCTGCTAGATCCATTATGACGTCAAAATCTCTTCACCCTTCTTTTTTACCGTACATTACGGCTCTATTGGAATTATGTAGACAATAAGGTATTTTCATGGAAATTTATTTGAAAATACATGAAAAGTAATCCCGATACCTTAATTAAATTTGATTGATTGATTGTATATTGCTTAAAGTCCCTCTCGTATATTAGATTTGACATTATTTTAAGAAAAGGCCATGAACTTACGAATTACCGTTTTCTGAGAGATTGTAGACAATCTGGATATATTTTCTTTGTTGAATATGAAACAAATTCTAATATTTGTGACTGCTTTTCTTATTTTTTCATCGGGTTTACTTTCAAATTCTGTCCCAAACACCTTATTGGACCAAGGTAAAGTTGTAAATCATCATTAAAGGACTTATTTCTTAATTTTGATAAATCTGTAGGCACCTTTCATTTACTAGATCTTGACCTTAAGTTAATTTTTGTGACTTGTAAAATTTTTCGTTACGTCACAATTAAACATCAAAAATGGTGTACTATGAATGTGAACTCTGACCTTTCTTAACATAACTGAGTTTTTAAGCACCTTTTTGTTTTTTTCTTTCAATTATTGTAATCTGCCTATAAAAAATCACTGTTATAAAACCTTTGATTAATTGAGAAAATATTTTCTAAAATGTAAAAGATTTTTAAGAGCTTTTAGGTCTTTCCACCCTTTTGTGGAATGCCCCCTGGGTCAGGGCTTCTTGTGTTAGGGCGGGGCTTACTTGAATATATAGTGAAAATGCATTGTCTTCAAAAAGTATTTTCCTCTGCTCCTTGGAATGAAGCTAGTGAATAAAGTACTAAGTTTTGATGAGGACTCATATGCCTCTTATACAAATTGTAAATTTCATGGCCCCAGTGTCAGGGGTTTTGGTGTTAGGGCTGAGCTGTATTTATACTATTATATACTAGTGAAAATTCATTAATTCTTCTCTGCTCCTGGGTATTAAACAAAGTAACAACGTACATAGTTGTGATGAGGAAGGGAGCCTCTTTGGAAACTGTGGATTTCATATTCCCAGGGTCTGGAGTTCAATTATGACTTAGGATGAGAATATATGGACTGAATAGTGAAAATGCAAAAAATCTTTGAAAAACTTCTCTTTTTGGAGTATTAAACAAACTAACTACATACATAGTTATGCTATGCATGGGTCATTCTTCCAGATTTGTGAATTTTAAGGCCCCTGGATCAGGAGTATCATAGAGAACGGGATGGAGGGTTGGTTCTAATTAAGATTGAAAATGAATTAAATCTTCGAAATCAGCTCTATCATATGAATCAAACATTTATGATGAGCAATAGTATCTTTTCCAAAACTGTGAAATTTGTTGACCTAGGATCATGGGTTTCTCTGGGATGGGGGCACTACAGATTATTGCTGAAAATTACCGATTAGATGAAATGCAATTTTGTTCCCCTACTCTATCTATGGATATTATGTAACCAAACTAAACGTGCTATCCGTATAGTTATGATGAGCAATTGTGCTTCTTTCAAAAGTGTGAATGTCATGGCCTTTAGTTTAAAACATGAACAAAAATTAATTGGAAAGTAGTTGCATGATGTTCAGGTGACCTACAAGGCCCATGGACCTCTTCTTTAATTTGGTGATTTATTACTGAATAGAACCGAAACCGTATGATAAAAAAATTATTTATTTTTTATCATCTTAATATTATAAGGTAAAATTTTCAAATTTGAACTCATTTTTTCGATTGTTTTAGAATTATTAGAAAACTTATTTATAATTAACTTGCTATATTAATAACTAAACATATATATATATTTATCAAAAGAAAAAAAAATGTGCATACCCTTTCTTCTTTATCCTCACTGTGTGTACCGATCAGGATGACAGGTGCCTTAATACTGCTATATTGGTGAATGGACTCCATCCAAAATTTAAGATAATCTGAATAAAATTATAATAGAAACATTTCACGTATGAGTAAGCAAGGAAGATTTTTTAAAGGAAAGAATAGCGATTTTTTTTTATAATAAAACAGTTCTACGGACTGATCATTAGTAAATTTTATTATCTTATATTAACTATTACGTACATGTATTTGTTGAATTGTACACAATGGGTAAGAAACCAGTCAATCAGAGAACTGTGTCCTCCGTATAAGAAGAAAAAAATGTTTTAAAAAAGCTTGAAAAAAAATATGCAGATAGAAAAGGCAATTGGCGTTATGATATGAAATGTGAAATGCAAATGAGTAATCATGCCGAAAGTCCAATCGTATAATACGCATTGAGGCACAGCAAACACGGACCTCAAGTAATCTAGGTGAGATCAGATGTCATTGAAGACAACGCTTTCCCGTAGATCGACCACACCTAATGTGTGCTCAGTGGCACGATAAGGTGACGGAAAAACCATTGTAAAAAAAAAACTGAAATAAAAATTATAAATTTGATTTTTGTTTGGAGAAAGATCATGAAATGGCATCTGATATCCAAAATACCCAATATTAAAAAATGCTTTATAATGTGTACACCTACATATAACTGTGCAATACAAAGTATTAGAATTACATGTACGTATTTACGAAAAAAAGTTTGTTTAGCAGTTAAAAAGCGGATGTAAACTTTTGCTTTAAATTTAAAATTTACTTTTTCGTTTGGTAAAAAGTTGATAAATCCTTTTGCTCTCGGATACTCGGCAAAGAACATGAATGCAAATACATGTACATAAGAAAGTCCTCATTAACAAAATATGAATATATAATGCATATATTTTCTGGCGGATTTCCTGCTACATACACAAATACAAATGTGTTTTGGTTTGCTAAATAAATCTATTATTGTTGTAATTTCATGTTTATTGGTCTCAATCTGCGCATTGGTATATAATAAACAGATTATTTTTTCCATATGCGACTTTCGCATTCCCTTAGTTACTGGAAACAATTACAATCTTATCAATTAATATTTGAAGCTAACTTTTCCCCATCACAAAGACAATGTAATGACCTGTATACAGTGGCAAAGCAATTCACAGAAATAAAACAATTTTTGCATGCAAGTCATAAATGAAATAAAATCGGAACCTTTATGTGTCCATTCTTTATAAATCGACCCTTTCTGCCTACACACTTCCTCTCCAACTTTATCTTCAAACTTCTTCTCCATATTCAGCACCAGGATGAAGAATGCCCGCGGACTCAGAAAAATCTGGTGTGAGGCATAATATGCACATTGACCAGCAAAGTCGGTCATTGTGATTTTTTTCTCGGGATCATTTGAATTGTTTTTTGAAAGTATCTGCAAAACTCCAGATAGTTCTGAAGCACTAGAAAAAGCTTCGCTATTTTCAAGGACTTCCCTTGAATTTTCCGATGATGTAGGGTCTTCTCGTTTATATGATGAGGTAGTCTGAATTTTGATTCCTTCGGGTGACACCTGTCTAAGAATCGATGCTTCTGCAGTAGTATACCCAACAGCAACTGGTTCCACTTTCTCCAGCTTTTCAACATCATTCGCTTCATCAACACGAATTTTAAACCGTTGCTGCTGACTTGAATTATTTACTGCAAAAACAAACTTTTGTATGACAATGACAGTTAATTGCTTTAAACAAATGGCAGTCTTTTAAAATGTTTTCTGTTGTAAAGTATTTTTTTCTTCGGACTTCAATCTTGTGCCATTTTTGTGAAACAGCATTTTGTGAATAGTGAATAGTCTAAATTTGATCAAATAAATCAAATGTAAAAGATTCGTTTTCTATTTCTGAGGATATGCCATAGTATAAATATATAATATCTGAGTTATTTTTAAGCCGTTGGCTTTTTTCATGTGTTTTATTACCTCAAGTAGTACAAACATACATAGTCATATATGTACTGTGTACTAGGTTATAACCTTATAGGTACTATGAATTTAAAAAAAATCTTATATTTCTCGGTATTTCTGATATCCCTCTGATGAGATTCTATCGTGTCTTCTTTGTCCTTTCCGATAAAAAAAAAACCATCGAATGTATTTAAATCACTAAATGATAAAATTCAATACAATCCGGAGTCTCTTCTCATTTGGATTTATGCACACATATCTTTTCTTTATTATATTTAAGCATTATGCTCAGTCTGTTAACCAACATTAATTCGCGTGCTAGAAATATCTGTTAGTTTCACAACCTTTTTTAAATCGCGAATATTAATCTTGAATTGAAATTCTTTTACTTAAAATTTGTAGAGAATGTTTCTCAATCATGAAAATTAATCGTCGCGGAATGATTCAAACTGACAATTCGCTATTCGAGACTGATGGTCGTTTTACATGTATTACGTGTATTTCATGACGTTAAAATTAATATTCTAAGGATAAGAGGTCTCTCTACACATTTGTTTCGATGTTTATCAGAAAACAATTTTTACGGAAACTTTACTAATGAAATTTGAATTATATCAAGCTATCAGTAAAGTTAAAACAATGAAATATAAAGATCACAAACAATTTTACTACGATTATTGCCAAGATCAATAAAATGCCGCGGATATTATTCTCCGATAAATCATGAACGTCATCAAAAAATTATTAGATCTGAAACACGTATCAAACCTGTGCAGTTGAAATGAACATTTGACTTAAGCATGAAATGCTTATTTAGACCACATTGATACGTCGTCTTTTTCAATTTAAACACTGTATATTGCAAGATGTAGCTGATGAATGTAGGTTTCTAAAGCCAAGCGTGGCTGTTTCACGAACCTCCCTACATTTCTCCCTGATTTCAGGTAAACAAACAAATTTACACTCTGGTGCTAATTGGAACAGCGTTATCGCAGTATTGTGACCTTATTCGTTATACAGGGTGTCCCAAAACATATGTTACACTTTTTATTATCTATAACTTTATCAAACCACAAGCATTCACAAAGATATTTTGTCAACATCTAGTGTATTAGCATTTATTTTATCTGACAAACTTTCAAGAAATTCTGTTAAAAATTAAGGTAGTTATGATGTCCAAATGACGTCATCATATTTCTAATTTTGAACCTTCATGTGAACAGCTGGTAGAAATTGTCAAACTTTAATATGGGTGTAAATCTGCTACTTTAGTCATAGGAACCATGAGAAAGCAAATTCTGTAATGAACGTACACAACAGAATGCTAATCTACAGACTTGTGAGTTGTGAGGGAGTTAAAAGTTAAAGGCACCATAAATGACACATGACTTAATTCTGGTTATAAGACCAAGGGTGCCCGTACCATAGAGAACATTAATTCCATTGATAGAGTAATCACTGAAACTTTATAAAAATCCCATAGACGGGTACTGCCTAAACTAGATGCATATGGCGCTATTGGTAAATGTACTGTTCATAAAATACTCAAATTCGGTTTAAAACTGATTCCTTACAAGATAATTGTAATGCAGCATTTGATAGAGACAAAAATTATATGTCGTCTAGAGTTTGCCTATTGGATTTTGATTAGACCAAATTCTGCAAATTTAACAGATGCATGGTTTTCCGTTTAAGCCCACTTTCATCTTAACAATGTTGTTAAAGAGAATCTTACGTTCTTGTGTTTGTTCAAACTTATTCTTATTGTGGAAAAACCTGTTAGAATGTTACATACAAACTTGGTAAAAAAAATTCAGAAATCGTGTTCAAATAATATTAATTCTAAGGGATTTAATTTGGAACATGCTATAAAATGTCATATGTTATGGAGTTATTCTAAAGAAAAAAATGTTGATGATTGATAAGAAAATTGTAATAAATGTATGCTTGACAAAAAAATTATAACAATTTTATTAAATATTTCAAATTTCATTAACGTGACTTGAGGATTGAAATTTTTATAACGGTTTAAAAGTGTAACATATGTTTTGGGACACCCTGTATATAAACGCGACCAGTCGTATTTTACATCTGCTAGCACACGAAGTAGAATAGAAATAAAGTCCTTGTTGTCGTGAATGTTGCCGAATAACCTCCTCAGTCTCGAAATGTTGTTTGAAATATAAAAGCCTCGGCTTTTATCTTTCAAACAATATTTCTCGACCTCGGAGGTTATTCTGCAACATTCACGAAAACGCGGACATTATTTCTTAAATAAACTTTGTGATTGAAAAATTCACCGTTGTTTTATTATTAAAATTAAATCATTGATATTAAGATAATTTATTTGAAAGATTCGATTTAATAAAAAAAATCGCTAACATCAGGAGAAATCTGCATCGACGAAAAAGACAAATGTCAAAGGTTCAATTTTTTGGACAAAATATTCCAATTTCTAGATTCAAATTCTAATCAAAACGATTATAGTCATAAATGTAATTAAAAATGTATTATTATTATTATGATATGAATAAATAGGTAAACAAAGCATATGCATGCACAAGAATGAAATAATATTTTTAAAACCCTATATTTGCACAATGTTACTCTTGCAAAGATCTTAGGCCTGTCTTTTTATTTTAGTTTCCGTTATATAGATGTACATACACGGAGAAAACCACTTCAGTCATGTTAAATACTAAGGACCAAAACATTTCCTTGTATACCAAACATTTATGACCTGTACATTTCTGTGGCAGTGAATTCAGGATCAAAATACGTGTTCATAGTCCAGTTCGCCGCCTGTACCAACGCAGCCGCTATTGCTTAAAAAGTCGGATTTCAACGCAATGTTTATAAAACGTCAAAAATTCATTTTTCATAAATCAAACACCAACATTTCAGGAATGTAGTTAATAATACACAAATATGGATTGTTTAGACGGGGGATATCACCAATTATCAGGTCTGAGTTGTCACCCGAGGGCGCTTGCGTTATGTAAATAAGAAATATCAATGACAAAATATTTTAAGTAACAGTTTAGCTTGTCCGCGATTTTTACGGACAACCCTCCTTCAGTTACTAAAGTTATTACTCTGACATTATATAAAAAAAACCAAATACAATGAAAAAAAGAGCACGTGTCCTCCTCAATATTAAAGGATGATGGTTGAAAAAATATAAATGAAAACTTAATTGAAAATGATTTTGTTTAACAGAAAACAGTTAAAGCAAATGAAAAGAGACAGCTGAAACTAGGTTAAAGATCATTCATAATGTGTCAATTAAGACCACTTGAGTTCACTATAGGAATATCCTACTGTGTTAAATTGAAATAATTATAGTAAACGAAAAATACCTCGGATGCTATCTGTCACATTAAAAACGTCAGTATGAATTTGAACGCCTCTTGTCGAATTGACACTTTGTTTAATTTCTGCCAGGTCAGTGCCCTTAAGTCTCTCTAGTAATGTTGTTTTCCCACTACCAGCACACCCTATGATCATTCCAGAGGCATGGTACATCCTCGTCCTCCCTTTCTTTAGATTTTCCGTGAAATTCTTCACTGATTTGTCCCCCCTCATTATAACCTGTATTGGAACGCCGACTACAAAGCAACAAAAATACAAATTTTTAATGTAAAAAAAAGATCGGGAAAACAAACTTCGGTTCACCTTTGTCGCGTCTCGTCAAACCTGAAATTAGGTAGTTAGGTCTACAATTCCTTCTCCAAGCACTCGGCAGTAGTAGTAAAATTAAGGGGTTTTGGTATATTATGACATCTCTATATGAGTGAAAATTTCTCAAAAGGGAGGTAAAATAACATTCACTCATTCATTGAACCAATCAATCATTTGATTGATTAATAGATTGTATGATATTTTAAAACTCATTCGAGGATTTTTTTTTCACTCATATACCTACAGTGTATGTATATCAACTTTCACCGTTGAAGGGCTTCAAATTTAGACCTATACAAGGCATTCACGGCCATTAACGCTTACCGTGAGAGGGGACATTGGTTTTTAAGATCTTAATCGAAGAGCCCTAAATTTTAACTTCAGAGTGCCAAGAGCATGGCGAAGGAACGGTTGCTACTTATTTTGCATCGACTGTGTCACAGCCGAGATTCGAACTCACGACCTCCTGATCACAAAGCGAGCAATCTACAGACAGATAGTAACGTCAAATGAATAATAATATATTGAAATATCTAATGGTGATAATTGTATAGAATCTTTTTTCCATTTCATTGTCATGTTCATGTTGTAATCAAAAATCCGTGTTTTAAAAATACAAGTTAGAATAGATTTTTTATTGTATAAATTCTATACTTTAAAGCAATTGAAACGAAACAAAAAGTAATCTACAAATATGATTTTTATGTAATGATTTTTGTAAATTAATTTAGTAAGGTTATACTTGACTTAAGGTATTAAATGTATAAAATAGAATTTAAACCTAATAAATGAATGGCCTGATACTTTTAATCATGGTAGCATTTTGAAGGTATTATGAAATAATTATACTCGACCAAAGAAATGTACAAAATTTTAATCATTGTTCATTAAATGCACCTTAAATTCAACATCGAGGATTGTATGTTGTTTAACGTCCCTCATGAGAATTTTTCAGAAGCCACCACTTGCCGATGGAGAGCTACAAAATTTGTCCTATACTCGGTTTCTAGAGCCATTGAGCAGGGAGGGATTTTTTCTCGTGCCAGCACCTACTGCGACCTGGGACCTCGATTATACGGTCCTATCCGAAAGACTAGTCTCTGCGTCCCACAGTAGAATTCGAACCTGCGACAATTCAATATTAAAGTCTATGGCAGCGCATGTTTTTTAAGACATTGTAAAAAAGTAATGTGAATTTCATAAAAAAAAAGAGCCATAGCTGCCTTACCGACGACTCGGCCTACTCAAGTATTTAAAAGGAAATCACCTGTTTCTATTTATAGATACATTTACCTTTTCAATTTAAAATCAAACTACATGTATGTAATCATTTGTGAACCAGTGTTATACAATGTACATCTAGCTGCAAGTTTGTTGCATGACAGTACATGTAATTTTACTTGTCCAATACTCTTATTCTAAACAAGATTGTTTGAAAATTTAAAAAAAAACAGGCTAGCAGCTATGACTTTGGTCATTAAAATAGTTTAAGATTGTTTTCCCCAAGATACTTTCAATGTGTAATGTTGTATTATATATCTCTTTTAAAATTTATTTATACATATATGTATTATAAGATAATTAAAGAAAACATAGGAAAATGCACACAGAAAAAAAAATAAAATCGTTGTTGAGTAACACGCACTGTGAGATTCGAACTCACGATCATTATGTCTTTAATCCAGCAGTCATACCACTATGCCACGAAGTCTTGGTATTCAGATGGATAAAATTAAGACAGATTGTTGAATTTTAAAATAATAATTTTAGAAGAAAAATTAAATACATATTTTCAACATCTTCAATATGAAGACCACCTTTAACCAAAATTATATAAACGTATTGAAGTGCAGTCATATCCAAATAAAACTATTCAGAAGTTGTTTTTCTGGTTAAGGGTGGTCTTTTCCTACAGTTTGTAATTGTTTAGGGGAAAACTTCAGTATTTACTATATTTTCCATATATACTGAACGATTTTTATAACTATCATAAGAGGGAAGTATTAATAATTGAGTATTATTTTTGCGTGAGTTGCTTTAAGACATGTATAAACTAACATAGTATGACAAAATTTTGGTTAAGCAAAGTATTTAAAAAATCACTACTGGAGAAGGCGAAAGTGATTATCAAATGTGCTATGGCTCTTTGTCGGTGAAAAATGCATAAAACTGCATGAGTCATGTGATTATCGTTTATTTCACTTAAATTGATATCAAGCAATGTATTTCTAGATAGTCTAAAATGATTTAAATTGTTTGAAATCTCTTCCTTATACAGTGAATAAGTTAAAAACACCAGAGGTTTGATAACAATTTTAATGATTATATTATAATTATAAGAAACACATGAATGTTAAACCCTACCCAAGCCCTTGTAGCTTGATTAATACGATATGTTCATCAATTAGATTTCTAAGCAAAAGAAATATTCTCTGCTATATCGAAATGCTTGTTTTTTCAGATTATCGGGTCAAATTTTCTCTAACCTAGCGCAGTGTACAAGTAATAGCACTTGAATTTTTTCTACAGACATTCATTCATGCTAATGATGCACAAAAGCCTGTTTAAGCATGATGTAGTGCATTTTTTCATCTGCAATTCCTCATTACATTTAAATCGTTAACGGTTACACAGTCAGTAGAGCGCTCACTCTGTGATCAGGGGTCTTGAGTTCGAATCTCGACCGCCACTGAAATAACCTAATAAAAATTGGGTAGCAACCTGTTCTTCGCCAATGTGCTTAGCACTTGAAGTGTCATTTGCGTGTCCTTAGGATGAGACCTTAAACATCGAGGTCCCAAATTACCGCAGGCCTAGGCACAATAATGATCTTTCACCGCTCAATGGCCCTGAGTGCCAAGTAAAGGTCAAAATTGAAGCCCTTTACCGGTATATGGTGACGTCTCTAAATGCGTAAAGGAGATTTCGAATGGGAACGGATAAGGTTTTTAAAGATTTTGCAGTTAAACTTCTTTTTACTGTTCATAAAGGCAATATTAAAAAAAAAAAATCCAGGTCACGTTTCTGAACTTATAGTCCATTTATAAAATGATGCGAATTTAGGAAGAGACAAAATAGCAGTAATGGGTCTTTAGTTATATTTTTAACATTTAAATTAAATTAAAAGATGATGTTAACGACCTACATTTTCTAAATACAGCTTCATGTATTGACTGGTCATTCATTGTCGGATGTGTGAAAATATTTTCTCCTAGCCTTTCTAAAAACTCCTCATTTTTTTCTGGCAATAACCAACAGCAAACTTCACCTTCTTCTCTCTGATAATTACACGATCTACAGTACTCAGCAATGTTTTCTTTTTCAGCCCAAGCCAAGAAAATATCCAGAAATTTTAAATTTTTTGAAAATCTAAGAAAACTGATATTTTTGAAGAGTTCGTTGGAAAAACTTATTTCTAATTCATTGAATTTCAGAATTGGTTTGTACTTTTCTAAATCTTTTAAAGCAAAGGGCTTTTTGATTTCCTTGGATTGAAAACTGTTGGCAACAGTATTGTATTTGGTCATCCAGTTTCCTTCTTTCAAGTTTATTTTATAAGAATTGGAAAGAAGAAGGCACATCAAAAATGTATCCCCATCTAAAAATAAAAATAAAATATCAAAGATTAGCAAGCTCATCTAAATGAATGTGACCTATAAATAAAGGTTCATAAAATCAAAGTACTGAAAGTACTGAAAAGCGGTTAGCATGCTTTCATCGAATATGTACAGTGTACAATAACAAAAAATGTATTGAATGATGATATTAAAGTAAGCATGCATATCTTTTTCCAATGTCATCAGCGAAGAAGCAGACACACTGAATTTTGTAGTACTTAACTAAATGGTAAAACCAATAACATCCCAGACTGATGTCACAAATGTTTGTTTCAAAATATCAACCTGAGATTTTCAGTTTGAAAGACAGGAAGTTCAATTTCAAAAATTTCTCCCTAATTGTCTACATTGGTGGTGTCCAAAAGTGCTCAGAACGAAAAAAAAAATTATGTTGATCTTGCAAATTTAATTGGCTTTCATGCTCTATTGATTCTGAAATTAGGTAACTGTAAAGGCTACTATAGCAAACAACTCAAAAAGAAAATAAAATGATAATTCAAATTCTTTAGATTAATTGGTTTGGAGTACTGTACATAGGTCTTTAGCTGGCTAGTCTGAGAAAAACGGATGGACGAGCAGAGAATTAATTAATTTCAGAGAGCTTCAATTTCGTAGGCTCACAGCGGGTCAGCAGGTGTGACCTGTCATTGAGGATGCTTACTTCTCCCAGGCACCGGAACTTTCAAGGATCTGTTTTTCTTTTGAGACCGATCACTGTTCATTCTGTATTTTGATACAGATACTGAGTACTTCTGTTTATTAATATTATGAACTATTTCTCTCACAGGAAGAAAGACAAGTAAACAAGATAATAAAGTTTTAAGAAATGTACATTATTGACTTTTCATACAATAAAATGTTCGAATAAGTTAATGGTATATGACAATTATTTAAAAAAGAGTCTTGCACGATATGTATAAACGAACATATACTGAGTATTTGGCAAATATTTCTATGCAATATTGATATAAAAAAAAAACGTGTGAAAAGGAAAGTTGTTGTTTAATCCATCAATACTAGTATTTTAAAAATTCAAAGGTTCACTAAAAGTCAGTGTATAACAAACAATTTAATTGTCCATTGCAAGAATTACCTAGGTATCATTGTCACTTTCTTCAATATGTCGCATAAGCAATACGTTGTTTTTTTGTTTTTTGTTTTGTTTTTTTATACTAAAAACAAGTATGCGAATTTCTATCAATATGCCTGTAAGCATCTGTATTTTAATTTTTATTTCTTCTCAAAGGCTCAAAATGATACTTAACAAATTGGACAAATTCAAATTTAAGTATTTTTACAACTTATACCTTGCACAGGAATTTAGCAAACTTTCAAAAATAATCATTCATTAGATATAATTTTCAATTTGTGCTGATTGTCAAGATTTTTCATGCCTCTTTTTCTGTGCATATTTTATATCGGGTGATTTTTAGAGAAGGATCGAATGCCGATTAAATTTTTTTCTCCATTTTTTTAAAATTAATTTTAATATTTTCAATTATTTAATTATTTTTCTGTACAACTTACAGATGTATTCAGTATTTTTATATAAAGGCTTTCTTCGTGTACTAGTATTACTTAAGTTAATTAAAGGGATGCCATAATATTTTGGAAAATGAAACGCGATCGAGAGATTCTCCGATGTTTTGCAGTCGGTAATAACCTTCAACCCCTTTAGCCAGTAATTAACCCGTCCTCCCTGTGCCCAGTAGCATAATTCGGTCAAATATTTATTGTTCACGAGGGGTGCCTTATAATTAATCATAGGCACCTGAATTTTTATCAGTAAGTCTCTAAATTAGCCAAATATCGAAACATTCTACCCCCTCTATATATAAATACATAAGTTGTGCAACGCCATTTTGACCACCTGTTCGATTCAGGCTTCAATTTAACACATAAATCGGATATGCCTACTGGTTTTCGTGTAGCATTGGGTTCAAATATGATATTTCTCGCTATACATGTCTTCCTAAAGTTTAAATCTAACAAGTTGATAATGTTATCAGCTAAACTTCATGCTGACTTCGAATTTCGTCACAGGGCCCGATCGCCATCAGCTGATGTCACGGAAATTTCGACACCAAATGCTCCTATACATAAACTTTTTTTAATTCAACAATTATAAATTTATTTCATTGACAAACAAAATCAGAAAAAAAATTAAAAACCGAAAGATTATGTTGTTTTGATAGTCTTGATTTTATTTAACATATGTTATATGTGTTAGAAACAAATCATAGGTACTAGGTAGAGGCTTTGTTGAAGTTTCCGTTGTCGATAGGTAGCGCCTTATGGAAGTTTCCGGTGTCGATAAAAATCGGACACATGCCATAAAGCGGTTAGCGAAGCTAACCGCTTAAAAAGAATGTCTAGAAATATATTAAAGTCAAATGTCGTAATCTTAAATCACTGAGATCAATGTTCTTGAGAAGATAATGTTCAAAGCACATCACATTATTTCTGCAATTTTTCTATAATCTTTCCATGAATTCTCCTTTACCCGCAAGGGAAATGGGATGTTTTGTTGTTAAAAAGAGTTTCGACGATGATATATTTTTTATCCGAAAAAGAGCAATATTTGCTGGCCTACATATAACTAAATAAATACAGAACATACTGATTTTGATTCCAGCAACAAACCTTCTATCCTGTGAATTTCTTTAAACAGCTCCTCTATATCTCCAAGATGATGTCCCCTGTGATCCTCAGAGCTCGTACAATCCACACACAAGGGAAAATTACACTGAATACAGAACTGAACTAATGTACGTCGAGGGTGTCTCTTGCATTTAATGTCGTGCAGATGAAGGTCTGTTAGACGTCCCCCCCCAAAAAAAAATATATTATTAATGATAAATTAGATAAACAATGGAAATGATTTCATACAATCTTCTTTTTTATACTAAACAGAAGACGCCTTGGCGTCATTTTAAATAACGTGTTTCAAAATCACGCATTAATACACACAGGATGAAAAGCCAGGTTTCCCAAATTTGGAAACCCGATGGAAACATATGGGAATCGTGACATCAGTAGTTTCCATATAGTTTCCATTTTATGGAAACCACATAGTGGTTTCCACATAGATTCCCGACATGGAAACAATCAACCTGTGGTTTCCCGTACGTTTCCCAAGATAGGAAACCATGGAAACATTCCCTGGTGGTTTCCATGTAGATTCCCGACATGGAAACAACCAACCTGTGGTTTTCCGTTAGTTTCCCAAGATAGGAAACCATGGAAACATGCCTCAGTGGTTTCCATATAGATTCCCGACATGGAAGCCACTAATGTGTAGTTTCCCCCATGTTTCCCAGGTAGAGAAACTTTGAAAGTATATCTCAATGCTAACCCACCTACTTTTTATTTTACAAAAAGTTAAATATTTTCTGATGTTACCATATGCTTACCAATTATAGAAATATTTCAAAAGTGTTTACATGCTGTATCAAAATAATTAACTTCCCTTCAAACAGTTAAAATAACTAGATGTGTATTTCTGCGTGATAAAATTTAATATTTCAGCACCGTGAACGCAATTTAATATTAAAAATTTATGAAATAAGTTTTGGTAAACTCGTATAGAATGCATGAAATGGAATAGAGAAAATTAAGTGCAGTTATGTAGATATCAATCATTTCCGATCTCACTTTCTTGTAAGCTGTCTATGTTGAATGTTCCTTTGAAAAAAATGCAAGAGCGAAGGGCACCTTTTATGATATTATTTACAGAAAAGGTAAAAAGATCGATAAAAAAGTAAATAAAGAAACATATCAAGTTGCGATTATATAAAATGTAGTGATTAAGGACAGATGAGACGTTCCTCAATAATATAATCATAATTTTTTCCAATATTTTGACATTGAAGACTTACTTTTTTTTTTACATTATAACATGTATTCACAAAAACTCAAGGTACCTTACAAGGCATTTTGTTTGAGATACCAGAGGATGGCATCTCTTATATACCGGGGTAATCCTTCAGGAAAAAATTCTTCAGTTGGTTTGTCACAATTACATTTTTAGTGTTTCAAATTATTAAAAACCAGTTTAGAAAGTAATAAAGATTTTTATACAAATTTATTATACATTAATATGAAGATTCACAAAACAGATACTTAATGGGAAACGTATCGTCTGACCTTTAAAAAAAACAAAATATAGAAGAGTAAGTATGGTTACATAGAGATCAATGTAAACTGGTCAGATAAAATCCATCGAATTGGTTGGAGGCTGAGTATTATCATACTAGTATTTTACTTTAGTAAGATTGTTTTTTTATTATTTAATAAATTATTATTATTATTGGGGGTGGGTGGATTGCTTTTCATTTTTTCCTAGAGAAGCCCCCCCCCCCTTCAAAAAAAAAAATAAAACCACACTTGAAAAAATCACTATAGTCGGCCTGTGTAATAACTACGGGCACCTGTCCTCACGTGCCATATCAGGTGGAGACACGTGCCGCGAAGACACCTGTCACTGTGTATTTTTTGTATATTCTATGTGAATTGAGACGGTTTTCTACCTAAAGGGAACAATGGGCTGTTGTCGAGCATGTACTCACACAGCCTCCGACCGAAAATTCGTTTGAATTAAGATGACGATTCGGGGTTTTTTTATCAATTAAAAAATTGTATATTTCATAAATAAAGTTATACAAGAGAACATATTTATAATATAACATACATTTATTTTAAGATTTTCAATGAAAGAACGAACTATTTAGAATTTTTATTTCAATTTTCATTTCTGATTTGAAAAAACTATGCTCTTTAGAAATTAAATAATTTTCTATAGGTATTGTGAAATCAACACTGTATTTATATAATAGTGTTGCATTATGCATGTACTATGCCTAAATAGTAGGCAGGGTTTGACACATGGTGCACGAGCCGGAGGCGAGTGCACTATGTGTCAAACCCTGCCTACTATTTAGGCATAGTACATGCATAATGCAACACTATTTTTATTATTATGCTGACTGTTGTAATTATTTATGCGGTAATCCATTTGATTTTTTCCTGATAATATCGGTGCTTAAACAGCGCACTTGCAAGAACTCATTCAAAATATTCATGCTAAAATTGTTTGCATGCTTAGTTATTTTGGTTACTAGTATTTTCTCTAAATAAGTCGGGATTTTCTGTCCCAAAGCAACACATTTTTATTTTCTGTTATGTTAGTAAGCCTTATTTGTTTGCAGACGTCGATTCTCATTGATAATTTTCTTTTACATCCTTCAATCAAGCGTCATATAAAAAAGCGTTTTAATGACCCTATAAAATCAGTTCATCTAACGATCTGTATGTAATTAGTTTGAAAGTTTGTTGTACACATTAATCTAAAGTTCCTTAGAATAATATAACTGTTTTCAAATAATATTTGTCTATTTTCTCCTTCTTGTGTCAATTGTATAAATTAAGTTTATATATTTAATAAAATTGCATCAATCAGTGATCGTCTCTATGGCGTAATCGATAAGGCATCGGACTGTCAATCTCATGGTCGTGAGTTCGATCCCCGGCATGTGCATGGAAGAATTTTATTCAGTAAATAAAGCCGTGCACTATTTCGGCATAGTATGTTTACGCCATATAAATCCTTAGACCACTATGCGAGAATAGTAGGGTATGGGTTATATAGAGACAAACTGACAGGAAGCATAATAATTAATAGTCTTGATGAGTTTTTGTGTGAAATTTGTAATCCAACGTACTATACAAAGGCATTTATTAAATAATGTTATAATATTCCTGAGTCAAGGAAACTTTAGGAATCGTAAGGTTTCACGAGGTTCCATGTAGTTTCCCGTAATAGGAAACCTTAAGATTCCATCAAGTTTCCATTCCACGGAAACCACTACGCTCCGATTCCCTGTGGTTTCCTGAGTCACGGAAACTTTAGGAATCATGAGATTTCCCAAGCTTCCATGTAGTTTCCTTAAAAAGGAAACTTTAAGATTCCACCAGGTTTCCATCCCACGGAAACCACTACGCTCCGATTCCATATGGTTTCCTGAGTCACGGAAACTATAGGAATGGTGAGGTTTCCCGAGCTTCCATGTAGTTTCCCGTAAAAGGAAACCTAAAGATTCCACCAGGTTTCCATTTTACGGAAACCCCCTACGATCCGATTCCATCAAGTTTCCTGATTCTGGAAACCAGTGGAATCTTTAGGTTTCCCATTATGGGAAACTACATGGATGTTCGGGAAACTTCAGGTTTACAGAGGTTTCCGTGGTTCGGGATACCTTATGGAATCGGAGCGTAGGGGGTTTCCGTGTCACGGAAACTTGGCGGAATAACCTGGCATCCGCTGCGGAAACCACTGGGAAACATGATGTAAACGTGAGGTTTCCGTGAGGTTTCCATGTGGTTTCCATAAAGTTTCCCATGATGGGAAACCACTTTTTTCACCCAGTGACAAGGAACTAGTTCGAATGCTAATGCAGAAAGTCAACCGACCGCCATATTGCTTATCTATGCAATTTTACACATAAACTATAGCGCAGTATATTTCAAGAAAATGTCAGATGCATTTTACTCAGCATAAATAATACATTGATATTAGGTGAAACTCTCATGAACATAATATATAAGGATATGTAAATATGACGGTTGCTAGCATTTAGGAAAAATTTCAAGATTCTTACCGGAAGGCGATTCTCCGTCTATACATTTGTAAATGACTACTGTATTGTTATATCCTGATCCAATCCAGAGGAAACTGTTTTTTTCATCATAACTCAGACTTTGTGGTAAGTATAAACCTTGCTCTTGTGTCAGAATGAATGATAAAAAGTTACCGTCTTTGCTAATCATATGTATTGTATTGTTATCATAATCGCACACAAGAATTTGTGACAAAACGTTTGTACATATTCCAAATGGAAGAAGTCCTGATCCGGAAGGGTGCCCTGAATAAGAGAAACGATGCCATCCTCCACGATTCGTTACTACCACGGCCTCACGGTCATGGTCAGACACAATTATATCTCCATTCCGATTCTCGGTAATATATCCAGGGTCAATATATAATTTCTCACCTGTATTGTGGTCGTATTGTATAGTTTGGATAAGTTCTAATGCTGCATTATATCGAGTTACTTTTGCACTATATGTACCAGCATTCCACATTACGACCAGCAAGTCTTCATTAGAATGAGAGCTGTAAACACACGCTGGTTTCCATTGATCTGTGCATTTGATTAATGTACTCTTAACTTTGTCAACTTTAGACAGTTTGTTTATGTTACCATTCCTGTTTATATATATTAAATCTCCATCGCTGTTAACTGTGTGTACTCCGCATCCACTATCTATATCTGTCAGTTGGTGTAGATTTGTACCCGCTGTGTTTGTCAAGACGAGATTGTTCACATCATTGACCCAGACCTCGTCCGATGTCAGTCGGGAAATATGTCCACCGTAAGTAACTCCTGGCACTGTGACAGATTTATGAAACACTACACTGGACATCATTTCTCGTAGAAAATCTTTGTTTGTCTTTTTCCTAGGGTTGTATAAAATTAAATTGGAACGTCATCTTTTTTTCATTCATGAAGTTTCTCTACAAAAAATGTAGTTATCTAAATCATAATGCCTTTTTGCAAAGAAAGGAGTTGATCCTTACTTCATGGGTTCGAATTTCAAAGTGGGACGCGGAGACTGGTCATTCGGATGACACCGTTTACATATAAACTAATGTTCCGTGTCACAGTTAAAGATTGCACGAGAAATATAATGGCCCCAAGTGCAAATACTAGGTCAAATTTTCCACTTCTCCATTGGCAAGTGAGGGCTTTTCAAAATTGTTGAAAAATTCTCGAGAGGGAAATTAAATTACATACAAACAAAAGCCTTTTTTGCCCATTTATCGATGTTTTGATTAAAGAATAATAAAAAAAAAAAATCATGAAAATACAGAAAAAATGTTGACTGTGCGACGGTTTTGGGGAGCACATTTATGTATATTAGTGGTTAGCCTATCGATTTACAACTTGGTTCATTCTTTTTACTCTGCGTAAGATATCTAAAGTCAAAACAACACTATAATCTCAGCGAAATCAGTAAGGACAAAAAACTTTGTTCTGATATCTCTACGGATCTCAGACCAGTGTCACCTAATCTCATTCGGGGTTTCGTGCCCGGACTTCGACGGCGTGTTTGATTATAAGGGCCTGAAATGAATAATGTGACCGCTACAAATATTTGCTTTGGACATCCTTTTAATTCCCCTTTACCATAAAACTTTCGTTTATTGCCTCCATTGTCTCCCATTTTTGTAGGAATGAGATTATGTGAACTTGGTCTTATACCGATCCGAAGAGCCTTCAGACAATTATTTTAGTCACCATTAATATCCCTAAGATTATAATTTGTATTCATAAATTGTTGTATATGTATTTTAGTTGCATATTTCCATTACAAATATCTTTTTTTTTACAAAAACACTTAATTTGCCTTTGATCTTGAATATAGATAAAAGCAATGTATTTTTTTATTATTGGTAAACTTTTGTTTTCTTATCGAAGGAATTCGTTTGGGCTCCAGTTGCAATAATATTGAGTATTTCGTGTACTTAATTTACCTTTGGAAAATAAAAATTTGGATCAAAGTAGAGTCAGTACGAAATTTTGGGAGTTGATTTAACCAACTCCTTATATTCAGCGCGCCAGACTTACAACTGACTTACAGTAGCTAAGATGATATATCTTTGATTTAAACAGTGTGTTGTGAAAATAGCAGTAAGGCTACAATTACAGATTTGACCAACAAATTGAGCAGGGTGTTAAGATTGGATAAAAGGCTACCCGAGTATAATACAATTCAATGTAAGATTCTTCTGTAGTTTTTGACTATAAGAAATATTCAAAGTATATGGTTGCCTATATGTCTCATATATTTAGGTGAAAGAAATTTAAGAGACCATGTTTTTTTTCCTCGTCAAAATTGAACAGCTTTTAATAGAAATGGGAAAATGTGCATGAAGACTAGCAGGAATTATATTATACGCACGTTCAATAGAAACGCAACACCCTACTTTTAGGGTGAAAATTATATACGGGATATAACTATGTACCAAAATAGTTAGGACATCTTTTACTTTACCATATCAGTTGTGAGTATATTAGCCAATAACCATTTCAGTTAAATTATTTATGCCAATTTGGTAATATCCTCTTATAGGCTCAATATGGTAGTATCTTTTTATGCAAAAAGAAAATCATTTTGAAATGCAAGTAGAGACCATGTCTCTTATATAAAGAGGTCAAATTTAATCTAACTGATACTATTACATCGTGATATTGTCTTCTTGATTCTGTAAAATTTTATTTTTAAATACAAGAAATGTGAGAAGAATTCTACCTTAAAGGATTTATTCATAGTATACAAAATATAGAGTATAAAATAAACTAACAGACAAAACTTTGTCAAAAAGAAAAAGATAAATAAGAAGATCATGATTAATGAGATACAATATTGCTGCAACGTTCCAATTGTCTAAAATTGTTCGTTACATCATCGTGCGTAACTGTAAAAGGTCCTCCAAAAATGGTGTCATTTTGTAGAGAAGTTATCCTTTTGTATCGTTATAGGGCCAATCTTAAAATCTTAACAGAAATGGAAAATGATATCAGAGACTATGATATCATGTATATTTGATAAGATTGTGTGTCCAATACATTTTTTAGAAGCGCGGCAGGGGGGCTATCAATACGTCAGTTGCCTGGGGGAGAAAGACCTTGAATTGTTGCATTGATACATGTACGTAAAAATTCTGTGTTTTTAAATAAATGATTCAAAGTACATAAAATTTTGACTGAAAACTACAATCAGGAACATCTGACACCACAATCCATATGCACAACAAAAACAAAAGTCGATTCGCTACTGGTTAAAGAAATGAACTTCCTTGTTAATCGATGTCGTGTAATTAATAGCAATCTGCCGTGTCATCTCAATAATTTTTTCTTACCTTAACTATTATGAATCTTGGCAAATGCACACCATCGTCCAGACAGACATCGGAAAAACAGGTACAGTTGGACTTGGCACTTCTTTACTAGAAGGAAGTTTCAGTAAAGGTTATGCAAGACATCACGTGACATATATGGTATGTTGGGTTGTTTAGGGTCAGTGGTCATTGTGTAGTGCGGAGGATTTTAAAGATGCATATAAATCGTTTTCATACCGATTGTCCCTCATTATCCATTGTTACAATTTTTTGTAATCTACCAATGTTATTTGTTTTAAAGCCCGTTAATGGGTTAAATAGTTATTTAGACTGAGATTCGGCTTCAGTTATATTCAATTTTTAGCATTCATTTTTTTTTCTACAAATGCAGTATTTAGTAAACAAAGATATACTTGTATTTATTACTTTTCTAGAGACTGGTAAATTAGACGATTGATGTAATAAATTCTCATATATTCGTATTATAATTCATTCTACAGAATCTTCTCACAAGTCCGTATATTCAATGGGTTGTCGCTACAAAATACCGTAGAAGCAGATAATATTACAATATATTCAGGTGCGTCATCCGAGATCATTTTTGTATAGCATGCCATATATTTCCCTTCAGGGTTGAGTGCTTAGATATAAAGATATTGACACAGATCTTTAAAGAAATACGAGCTGCATTTTGGACAAAAAATATTTTGCTGTTAAAATGAGATTTTTTGATAAAATTGTACTATGTAACGATAATCTTTATGATCAATTAGACTGAAATATATAAAGTATAACATTATAAATTGTTTCAAAAGAAAAAAAATCTGTATAATTTAATTTAGGATATTGTACAGTTATGGAATGGGTACGAGTGAAATAGCAGATTTATGGTACCCGAGGATGGAAACTAAGCTTATAGGCCGCCTGAGTAGCATGAGACAATTTATCTACATTGTCAATTAAATTATAACTAAATGCATAGTTCATTAACTCAATACCCAGAAGCAGAACAGCGGATTGTCAAAGGATTAATGCATTTTCACTATCTAATCAATAGAGTCCCGAGCCTACAGAAAAGCCAGTCCCTTGGTCCACACATTCCATTTTTTGGAAAAAGGTATTCTTACATGTACTTATCCTAAGTACAAAGAGTTTTACTACTATTTTTTTTTAATTCATACCTTGGAGCAAAGAAGAGGATATTAAAAGCATAAAAGATACTTAGCATGTGCTATATAATCAAAAATTACCCACCCACTGAACGCCTGACCATATGTTTTATAATATTTGACGAACCACCATAGGTCACGCACATATTTTTTTTTATTGTTTAAGACATTGGATCATTTCCAAAGAATTTATGCATTTTTACCTTATACTGATATAAAACCAGGCCCTCACACCACAACCGCTGACTCAGGGGCTATGAAATTCACAAATTTGAAACAGATACCCTTCATTATCATCATTTTACACTAAACTTCAAAAGCAAAATACCTTGGATTAAGAAAAATTTCTTTTAAATATTGCAAGATTGGGATTTCCTAATACTAATAGGCAAACCATTCCAACATTTTTATTTTATATATTTGTTTATATTTTGGTAAACGAAGTTTGAAGTTTGTTTCATGTGACGTGTATAATCAAAAACTTTGAAATGCGATATGCATATAATCGGGAGGGAAAACATGAAGTATTTTTAACATATACCTCCTGGTCTCCTAACAAATGTGAAATCAATACCATAAACTTCCAGTAAATAGGTAGCAATTTGTCAAAAACTGATGATTCAAAGTTTTCAAATAATTATCGTATCCCTCTTCATAAAAGGTCTTAATTCTGTTTAGAATTTGGCTGAAATAAACACTACAAAAAAAATAAACTCCGCATATATATGAATTTCATGACATAATGTAATAAAATGCTAGAATAATTTTACAGGAAGAAGAGACATTGAATAATAAATCTGAAACAAAATGAATCATGCAAGAAAAAAAATTAAAATAAAAACAGGAATTATAGAAAATAATAAAAGGAATTTTTTTCTTCCCTTATCGTCTTTATGCACACTTTACATACTAGTCGTCCAGTTAGATAAGAAAGGTTTCATGAACTATTTTTTCAATTGATTTATCCTTTTGAGATAAGATCATTGTAGTTAAGAATAGTTCACTGCAAGCGCGATATTTTATCAACGTACGTGTCCTCAGACATGTCAGAATTTGAGGAAACGTATTTGAAATACATGTACTATGGAAGGTAAAATTGGCAATTTCTAGCATGCGTCATTATGCTGGTTACGGTGTACACAGAGGCAAAGACACTGATTAACCATGATATCGAAGAAGAATTAAGAGCTCTCTCACAAGATGTTGAAACTGTTGAAATACAATTTACCAGGATTTTCATGATCAGTGAAACTTCAAAAAACCAGCGAAGTGCCAGAAAGCACAATAATCAAAAAATTGAAAAGTTAAAGAAGGTGAATTCGGATCTACTTGAGTCCCTGATGAAAGAGACTAGA